ACTCTTCTCCATCATAAACCCCCTACTCTTTGATACATTATCACTTGCTTATTCATACTCTATTTAGTGTTTTTTGTTTATATATTAAAAAATAAGTTCATATTCTGATTCTGTTCATGTTGTTCTATATTATAATCGTAGGAAAGTGGAGGGTCAACATGGTGTAGTTTTTGAAGGCGAGAAAATGCAAACATGTATTAAGCGCAACTCAACAATTGACGAGAACTACAACAAAAAATTCATAAAAAATTATGTCTTCAAGGTAACTAATCTATCACTCTGATCACGACAAGATTATGGTCCAAAGAACAATACATGGATTTGCAAGTTGTGGAAGATGAAGATAAAGATATGGTAATAGAGGAAATCTTTAACCAGACAAAGAAAGACTTCTTAGAGTTGTATGTGATATTGTCGCAGCTGAGGATGTTGTTTTACCCATGAGGTTAGTTGCTCTCAATTCTCTATATAATGCATCACCATCTACTGCTCCAGTTGTTAACATGTATGAGGAAGATGAAATGACCCTACTTGGGTTATGGACGACGGTTATGATGATGATAATATCACAATGGAAGATCGTCTTCTTGCAGGGGAAGCTAGTGCTTCGGACAATGCTGAGGATCGTGATATGACTGTGGATCAAATCCAATAATATCATTGATATGGGGCAGACTCAAATCCCAAAAGATCATGACATGTGCTCGACTCAATTTTCACCACATTTTGAAGGTATGTCAGTAAACAACACACACACACACACACACACACACACATATATATATATATATATATATATTATTTGGTTACTTGTATAAATTCGTACATGTAGGTGGTGCCAGTACTCCTTTTTAGGATGGAATTCCACATACATTGATTGAGATCATTAGAGCGAATAAGAATCTTATATTGGGGGTTCAATTGAGGGTCCATGGAAATTAAGGGATAAGTTAATTGCTAAGCAGGAATTTCCATTAAAAAAAGAGGCGTAGATGGCAATCAAGCGTTCCCTCGTGAAGAAGCACCAAGAAGCAATTATGGTTGAGAGAACGCCTACAAAGTTAAGCCTGAAATGTTGCACGCATGAGTAGGATTTCCCGTGGAAGGTTAGGTAATAAAACAATAGTTTGGTGAAAAATAGATGGTTACTAAATGGGGTGGAGATCACAATTGCTTGAAGGACCACATTTCTCAGGATCACGGACAACTTGATTCTGATGTTATTGCTTCACTTGTACCAGGTATGTTATTGGATAAGTTTGTAATTATGAAAAATGTATGGTATTTTTGTTTGTCTTAATGTATATGTTACAATTTGATTGTTAGGGATGATAAAGGAGGAATCATCGGTCACAATTGCATTGGTTTAGGAGAGAGTCACCCATTACTTTTGATTCAAAGTTTTATATAGAAAGGCATAGTGGTATACAAAACATAAAGCAATTGCAATGATGTATGGCGATTGGGAGGAATCTCATGCATTTTTCTCGGGTGGTGTGAATACATACTTCGCTTTTCACCAGGTTTTGTTAATCAACTTCAAACAAATGATTATTTTGTGGGTCATCGACGGATTCTTGGAAAATGCATATTTAATCGCATTTTTTTGACATTCAGATAGTGTTGCGAGGCTTTCAATTTTTGCAAACTAGTAATTCGAATTTATGACACTCATTTATATGGCAAGTACAAAGGAAAATATCTAATTGCCACAACTCAAGATGGAAATAATTAATGTTTGTCACTTGCATTTGTCGTTGTTGAGGGTGAGACTATGGAAGCTTGGTCATACTTTCCCGCTCACATCCGGATGTATGTTACACAGAGGTCAAAAACATGTTTCATTTTGGATCAGCACTGAAGCATATTATCTGTTGTAGAGAATTACCTTAGTTGGTAGCCACTGCATGTGTATCACATGTTTTGCCTTCATCATATTGCTAGCAATTTTAATCAAAAGTTCAGAAATGAAAAATTGAAAAAGGCGATAATGAATTTAGGTATGGTTAAGAACTCCTATCTCTATGATGAATGTATTTTTTGATGTTTTTTCTTGCATTATTCATTGTTGTCCTGTTGCGCTCACGGAAAGTATACCGGTTGTACAAGTAATAAAGTGATGAGAAAGTATCATTCTCACAAAGATTAGAGACACCAAACACTATTTTAATTATTCCCCTTAATTTAGACAAATCAAGTTGGTTTTGAAGAAGTAATTATGAAAAAAATAAAAGACAATTGCAATTAAGAACAAACTGCAGAACAAGGATTTATTAGAGAATTAAAAATTGGAATTTTAAAATCAATAATCAAAATTGCAGTAGGGTTTATTTCACCTCAGATCCTCTTTACAAGAATTAATTCAATTTATTTATATTTCATCTCAATTAATTCAAAAAATTCATCATCTAAGAATTAATTGGTTAAATCCTAATGTTTTAGTTCTTTAGCCCTTTAACTCAATTGGAATCCTAATGTCTTAGAAACCCCTTTCGAATTAAGCCTTAAGTGAGGTGAATTGTAAAGTTCGCAATTCCCACAAGCCTCTGTCTAGATCATGTAAGAATTGATGTTTTATCCTTGTTAGAACTAAAATTCCAATATGTCTATTGTGAACCCTTACCCTCTTTATTCTTATATAAGTGATCAATTTATAAAATAATTTTAACATAAAATTTGAAGTAAACACAACAATTAGAGACAATTTATAAATAAAAGAATTAACCCAAAATAAGAATTCACGTCGAGTCCATATCCTTAACTACAAAAGAAAACTTAGTCAGACATAGCTGGCTTAAACAAAATAAAGAAAGAAAAGAAAATAGATGAATTCATGAAGATGAAGGAAGAAGATGATCCAATGTTGCTTCAATCTCCTTCAATCTTCTCTCTCTCTGAAAACTCTGAAATCTTCTTGGCTTCTCAATCTTCCAATTCTCCTCCCAAAATCATTCATCTCTCTTTGTATAAATTCAGCATCACATTTTCTTAAGATCTCCTCAAATTTGGTTGAGATTTAGAAAATAAAAAGAGTCACTTACATCTGGCGCTGCTAGCGCCAGAAAACTGAAGCTATTTTATGCTCTGGCACTTCTAGCGCCACTCTCGCGCTAATGGCGTGGAGAACTCAAAGTACTGACGTTGCTAGTGCCATTATCGCACTAGCGATGCAGGAAAATAAAGGTTTTTGATGTAACTGACGCTTGTAATGCCATTCTGGCGCTACCAGCGTGGTGAAACAAAAGGTACTTGCATCTGTGGCGCTAATAGTGTGGCTGTACTGGACCTTTCCTTCTTTTGCTCTTGTTATTTGATCTATTTTCAAAGTAAATTTTCCTACAAAACCCAAGACTTTTAATAAGAGTAAGCCTGAGAATGGATTAACAATCTTTATCACAGTTATATGTATGTCTTTTGAATCAATTTAAATTAAATCCATGCTTGTTTTGGTCTTTAAAACATAGTATGCTGAAAGTATATCATGTCCCAAGCAATGAACTAATTTAAAAATAGAGGGGAAATGCAAAAGTATAGAAGTTGTGCTTAATGAATCATTAATATAAGAATCATACATTAAATCAATTCATAAATGATCAGACTTAGTTAAAAACAACAGAGTCTTAAGAACAAACATCCAACTAAGCAGTTTTGAATGCAAGCAGGTCGTAAAATCACAACAGGAGATCAATCAATAGAGCATAGAAAAACAGAATCAAAACACACCCCTCATTGGAATGTTAAAGTCACTCATCACTTAAGTGTCTAAGGGGTAAATGTTTCACTCTAACCTCCATTGAATTAGTACTACTGTAGACTTGGTCATATTCCCACTCTCCACAATCAAATAACATGCACAGAAGATCAAGATGTCTTTATTTGGATTGTAATGAGGCCTGACTAAATGTATGATAATCAAGGGAAAATGTGGCTAAAGAATTAGAACACAGAAGGATCATGGTATAAGTGTGAGCAATTTTAATATATAATCTTTTTTCTCCCTCTTTCCTCCTTTTCATTTTCAGCATTTCTATTTTTTATATTTTTTTAAACACTTTTATTTGCATAGAATTTAAAAGGCAACACTAAATAAATATATATTTTTCACCATTTTCCGATCTTTGTTTTTACTTTCTATCGTAACCTCATTTTTAACCACTAAGCATCATAAGACATAATGCTCATACTTACACCCTATTATGAATATTCTGTAATCTAATTATATCTAAGGTATAGATCCGTAAATTCTGTAGCCCAAAATCAGTCACGACTAAGCCCCAGTTGCTCCTAGTATAGGGCGCGACTAGTCCCACCCAATTTTGGATGCGACTGGTTGTTATAAATCCATAAATAAGTTCCAAAATACTATGTTTTCGTAAATTTTTATTTAAATAATAATATTTAATTTTTTTTGCTAGTAGTGCAGTGATTTCAAAATAAAAGAGAAAAATAGCAATATCTGAGTAGAGCTTCTTATAAGTGTAAATTTTAATTTTCTCAATTTCTTAGAAGGAAGTTTTAAGATTTTTTTTTTTCATATTATAAATCCTCTAATAAAGGGTTTATCCGGGATTTAATAAGAGACATTAGAATTTTTTAGTGAAAAAATGGTAATAAGAATAATTTATTCTAAACTTGGGAACTAATCACAAGTTAATGTACAAGTTATTTTAAGCTTACAATTAAAAATACAAGTATGAGTGATTAGTAATTAAATTTTTTTTTTTTTTTTTTGATAACATAGTAATTAAATTTTACATTAATAGAAAACTGACTATGTAAAAATTATATAAATAAAAGAACCATAAATTCATCCCCTTAAAGTTTTGGGTTAAGGTGAATGTCAAGCCAACTTATTATTTGTTGGATTTTTACTTAATCCATTCAGTACAAGAAAAACGGCTTTTACCCATAACTTTTCAACCAAGGTCAGTTAATATTTTTTAAAAAGTTATAAAATAATAAATTTTACTATGCAAATAAAAAAAAAGTATCTATCGCCAAAAGCCACCACAACATTGTTTCTCTCACTTGTTCTTCCTTCAAATTCTCAGTCCAATTTTTTCTTTCCCAAATTCTTAGTCTCGCACTCCATTCATAATAAACACATGCCATTTTTTATTCAGATTTCTTCATCTTTGTTTTATTCTAATTTACGATTCGTTCTAATTTCTTGTTTTCCCTCTTTCTTTGTTAGGTTTTGGATCTGTGTTTCATTTGCAAAAATGATGACCGTGTCTCATTATCTCTCAATCTCCTGTGCTTCTCTCCTTCGCCATTTGCAGGTTTTTTTACCAATCGCAAGTTTGGCCTTTCAAACTCTTCAATTTTTTTATTTAGATTTCATAGACGTTAATGTGAAGGAACGACTTTGTTATTTGACTAAAGATTACTGTTATACACACTATTCTAATGGTGGATTAGCGTAAGTTGACTTAATTTGTTATTTGACTAATAATGGCTCTACTTCCTTTACATATGAATTGGTGGATTGTATCCTTTATTTTCTTTTAAATGAATTTAGTGTTGCATTATAAATTGTACTGTTTTTAAATCTGATTTTGACATTTAATGTTGTATCTCTTGATCTTGTAAATAAAAATCTGTCAAAATTACATCTGTTTTGGCTCTTGCAGGTGGGTTGGTGGATGCATGGAAGATATGTGGCAAGTAGTTATAATCAAAGGTAATTTCTTTATCTTGATGATAAAATGGATATTAAGAAATTTTCCTCTTCAAGAAAGGAAAAGCTTATTTTATTAACGAAGGTGCTCCACCACATTATCATAATACATGATAACCAAAAGAGATTTTTCATAAATTGGTTTGGATCTGTAAGAGCAAAGTAAGAGTTTATTGATTTTAAGAATTTATAACTCCTGACTAGTCACTCTAGTAATGGCTCCTTGGTGTCGACCCTATTTTTAGTTCTCGCCCTCGGGCCGACATTTGGAGACATCGTTTTTCGATTAAGGACAAGGATATGGCTATGCCGAAGCAACAGAAGAAGCTATCTCAGAAGAAGCAACAACACCCACAAGTAGGCTTAAGCTTCTGTAGATTTTGGTTTTTGCTCTTTTTTCATTTTTTTTAATTCCGTCTCTGCTATCAATATTCAGTTGTTCTATAATCTCTTCATAGTTATCCCTTTGCATTTGGATTTCCAATCTGTTATTTCTGATATTGGTTTAACGGTGAGGGATTTGAGTAGTCTGCATGAGATCGTAAGTTCAGACCTCAATGTCACTATTGTATAAAAAAATAGTTTTATTTTGAGTCAATTTATTTGAGTATATCTTTTTGTCTTTCCCTCCGTGCTAATTTGCTGAATCCAAATTTTATTATATTTGACTATCAGCTACTAATCACAGTTTAACAGTCCTTTCGTTATTTGCATGCTTGATTGATTACTTTTGATAATCACTCTATGTTCTCTAAAGAGTAGTATTGTATTGAGTCCGTTTAGTTGTCTTCCTCTATTATAATTATCTGACTCCTAATTTCATTTCAATTTTTCTATCATTTCCCTCATATACTTGGCCTATAAAACAGAGTAGTACACTCCGTTTCTTACTTGCAGTTGCATACATGGTAAATACACGCTGCATGTTCTCTTATAATGTGTCTTAATCTTTTTCTTTTTGGGTGTTCTCAATTCCATGCCTTGTTCTTTTTTTGAACTTCTCTATGTACTTGTTGGTGGGATAATTAGACGTTTCAACTTGTCATGCATGATAACTTAATTGAGTGAATTGCCATGTTTCCTTTTAATTGCATAAAGAAAGATTCAAAACTGTTGAGATTTGTTTTTCTCTAATAATTATCTTGTATTCCTTCTTAATTGGAGACCAATGGGATAGACCTTCTCTGGTAATCTGTAGTTCATGCAGTCCTTTTATGTGTTTGATTGGTGAGGAACACTCCTATCTGTAAGTGTTTTTTTAATCCCCCAATTTTGATATGGATAGAATTCTCTGTGTTGTTCCACTCATGGCTGCTTCAATTGTGTTGGTACATCGAATTTACAGAGAGATTGGGAAGCCTTGCTTTGTACTGAGTTTTATGTCCTTTTTTTACTGACCTTTTTGTTATTCTTTGTCTTTTCTGTTGTAGGGGATTTCTTATCCTCCCCCTAGTTTAACTTCTTCTTTTTTCTTTATTTAACAAAATTTCTTCTTCCATCCAAAGTTAAAAAACTGTTTCCTGTGGCATAGGTATCACAGTCATGGTGAGAGCTCAAACGTGCCACCCTTTGGATCCACTATCTGCTGCTGAAATATCTGTAGCCGTAGGAACTGTTTGGGCAGCTGGGGCAACACCTGAGGTACATAATACATTTATCTCTTTCAGTGTAGATTTTGCTTGAGTTTACTGCACTACTTACATTGTTTCATCTTTGTCAATAGAAACTTAAAGTCCCTTTGTTACTAGAAAAAAGAAAACTTGAAATCCCTCATTTATTTTTCCTTGCATCGTAAAATGCACATCTCACTGTTTATTTACTTTTCCATGTAGTTTTTATTCATGCTTACTTCTTTTCTATTTTATTGGTTATCCTTTTGATATGTTACATGTATCTCACCCAAAACCTGTACGTGGCTAATGTAGATTCCTAATATTATTTTGTGTTGATTAGCTTTTGTAGGCCACTTTGTCTTAGTCTAGATTCCAAATATTATAGAGTTGTTTGTCACCATATCAATGTAAGATGAATATTTTTTTTTCTTCTTGGCCGAATACATCAGCTCACAACGTGCTTAAACAGGATTTTAAAGAAATTGGGTTGTCTTCTTGCATGCACAATAAAACTCTTTACTTATTGTTGTCTCCCACTAATCCATTGGTTTTAATTTTTCTTTTTATTATTATTATTATTATTCAATATCACTTGCAGACCATTTTGAAGTATATGTGTTTTAGATAGAGATTAAAATGTAGGAATGGGCTGGGAACGACAGATTTATAAGGGTAATGCCTCGTACTCCTGCTGGTGTTGGCGAGGCAGCATCAGGTATTACCTTTTTTAAAAGAGCATATTGTGTTTTGTTCTTCAGTTACTTTCTTCATGCTGAGAGTTGAGAACATATGTTGTGTGACTTTTTTGTATAACTTAGTAGTTCCATAATTGACTTTCTCAATTCTAAACTGTCAATTATACTTATTATTATTGCTTTTTTTTCAATAGTTTTGTTTTTGAATTTGATTCTGATGCCATTAGTCTATCACTTACTTGTTTCTTTAACTTTCTAACTGCAAAAATCTTTTAACTTGTGACAACAAATATGATAAAATTATTATAGTCTGCTTTAGCGGTTTTGTTCTTCACTTTATATAGAGTGGGGTTGAAAGGCTCTCATATGCAGTTAGCATTTGGTTCTCTTTTCTTTTTATTTATTTTTTTGATGCTTGAATTGCGTGGTAAATAATCTCAATTATGAAGAGGACTCTTTTCATAAATTACAAGAGCAAGAATGCCTTCTCTTACACATTATGGTAATTCTGTGTCTTGTGTATTATTCTTGAAAACAATGGATATTCCTTATTGCGTTTCTTTCTTTATCAATTCACATTGTTGACTGTTAAGAGAGTTGCTTGAACAGATTAACTGAAGTTAAACTATGGCAGTTATGAGCTTGGGGGGAGCTGCAACAGAAGAAGATGGAAACCTTATAGCCAAATTATTTGGGTCAATTGGCAAAATATGGAAAGCTGATGAAAAGTATTTTGATGCAATAACTGGCCTGAGGTATGTAGATCTCATTTTATAAAAATGATATAATAAAATTTGGATATTATCTAAGAAATCCACTAGAAATTTTCATTTTATCTATGATGGACGAAAATTTTCTTAGAGTTAAGAGATGAAGCCATGCAATTCTAGGCTATGTACATTTGAAAGAACAAAAGAAGAGTGTCTGGGATGAATACTCTGCTCAACACATTTACCTATGATGCATCATTTGAGATGCTCGATCTTGCAAATTTTTTTACCCAATTCAATAAATTCGTTTACCCAGATTTTGATCCGCTTGGCCCAACTTCTGAAATGAGTTTTAACTTAAATAAAAAACCCAACGGCCCATTTACAAAACCCTATATACCAAAGTTACAAACAGCTAATATTTCCAAAAAAAAAAAAAAAAAAAAAGTTACAAACAGCTCCTATTGTTTCATAATTGATATCATAGTCATATCAAATAATCAACTCTCCTAAAAGTTTAAACTCTTAGATAAAATTATGTAAATAATTTAATATTTTTATATTATATATTGGGGAATTAATTTCTCTTACACATATATAAAAAATCATGCCAACCCCCTTTCTTTTTTTTTCTTTTTTTTTTAAACGGTGGATCCATTATGAATTTGTCTCTACAGTAGACAATACTTTTATCCCATAAAGGAGAAAAACATTGCCCTTATATATTTAACACCTATCCCAGGGGAAAGATTCTCATATGTTTAAAATTTCTTCGAAGGGCAATGAAAGAAACGTGCAACAAATTGAAAAGTCATAAATCGCATGCCCATCCTTGCAATGCTTTATTTCCTGTCATGCCAGTCTTACCTTAGAAATGTGGGATCCTATTCCTATATGTCTTTCAAGGTGCATGATACACGGAGATCTAGAATGTACATACACATTCAAAATTTATGAATATGTATCTAGAATCTACGGTTAGAGTAAAGAGTAATTGAACCTTTAATTATTTTTGATAAATTTTCTCTTCAAATTATAAAGAAAGTTGTATATATGTATACTTGATAATTAATAATATCATTGATTATTTATCTCTTTTATGTTTGGTTTTATATTTAGAGCCCGTTTGGATGAGCTTTTTTTTTTCAAAAATTTTTTTTAAGAAAAAAAAACACTTGTTGAAAAAAGTTTGGTTGTATGTCTGCTTTTAATAAAAGCAGAAGTCATAAAAAAAGTCAAAAACTTATTTTTTTCGAAAGCTAAAAATTTTAGCTTCTCAAAAAAGCAGAAGTCAAAAGTCAAATATTTTTCTAAAAATCTAAATAGTTGTAGCTTTTATAAAAAGTACTTTTAAAATAAGAAAGTGATAAAAGGACTTTTTTAAAAAGTGAATACAAACGGGCCCTTAATAATTAACAATGTCATTTAACACGTTCGCAAATCTATTTATTTGAATAAGTTAATAAAACGGGGATGTTCAATTTAATTATCGGGTAAATATGAAACTTCATTATTAATGCTACATTATTTCCACCGATGTTGATCAATATATGGCAAGAAAGTTTGAAACTTTCAATAAATAGCGATGCACAATTAGAAAATGATATTATTGTTAGGCACGTATATACTTTCCATTTTGCACAATTAACTGCAATCTTTGGTTTATAATATGCTACTAAAACATTAATCAAATTTCTTTTTTTTACTTCCCAAACTAATAAATACGCACAATTAGCTGCAACCACTACTATATCATTAGGACGAAAGAGACAGAAGACACTCATTTTAGAGATCCATGCATGCCAGAACTATCATACCATAACCCTGATGCGTGGAAACGGGAAAAGAAGAACACGACATAGTGATCGCATGCGAATGGTCATATGTTAGGTATTAAGTTCAAATCAGGACGTGGTTGCCACCAACACAATGGTTGAAAACTAAAATAATATGAGTAAGAGCCCAGAAATATTCATAACAAATGTGTACGAAAGTAAATATATCTATTTAATAAGAGTTTTGCTGTTAAACACTCGAGCGTGCAATCGTTCGAGGTTTTCAGCGTTTGATTTCCTTGGTTTGTTTTCTATTGCGTGATCGTTATTTTGTCTTTCCTACTCTTTAATTCGGTGATACGCAGGCAAAAAAATTAAAATAATGTAATTAATTAAAATAATTACGTATTTAATGCTGTTTTGTTAAAAATTACACATCTGTTGCACAATGAGACGCCCTCTTTGGGCGTCACATGTGACGCCTTAGTGAGGCGTCTCTCTCCTAGAGAAGACGCCCCAGTGGGGCGTCACATGTGACGCCCAAAGAGGGCGTCTCATGTGCAACCTATATATACCTCATTTTCCTTTTTTCACTCCTTACTCATTTACCTCTCCAACCTCTCTCTAACCGCGGTTCGTAGCGAAGCTCTGCCAACGTAGGTAAGGTCATAATACCTCATATGTATACATTTAAATTATAGTGCTAGTTAGTAATACATGTTAGGATTGATTGTATATTAGAGACTTGGAACATTAGGATAGTCGCTTAGAAATTTTGTGTCATGCTATGAATGTTGTAATGATATAGTAATATTATTATTACGTAGTTATTATTATTACTGATTTTTAATTATGTATTAGGGTTTAGCATATTAATTAGTGATTTATAAATAGTGTTAGAAACTTTGTAAATTTCGTATGTATGATGTTATTAATGCGGGAGTGCATAACTTTGTAGTTAGTTAAGGATAATGGCTGAGTCATCATCTTCTTCGGGATCTGATTCGGATGTAGAGCCCACCGATCCCAGCATGTGGGTCATACCTGGACCCTACAGGTGGGAGGTCCTTCGTCAGAGGACGCAGAAAGGTCATATTTCACAGCGTGTGTGGAATACTGAGCATGTAAGAAAGATTAAGACGAGGCGTGGGAAGCCACAAGGGGGCCCACCTACCGGTGCTATTCCACAGGTTGTGGAAGAGTACCTCAGACAGGCGGGTTTATTCACGCAGTATACAAATGGGAACAATTACCTTCTTGTGGAATACCAAACGGAGCAGACGCAACGTCATTCAACTGCGGCATTTGCGCGACGACTGGTTGATGGAATATTGGAATTTCAGACGCACCCATCTCACGAGATTCATCTCCTTCTGAAGCACTAGCATCCTCCGCCAGAAGATGTTCTTCCATTGCCATATTTTCATCGTCATCTTCGTCGTGCATTTCCCAAGTTGGATCATTTTCATCTCCATCAGAAAAGATACCAACTGGAGACGCATGAGCGGCAGGAGAAGCTGGAAGACGGGGAGAATTTAAATAAATTGACCTCACCGGTATGGGAGCATTCTCCGTTGCAACGATGTCGACATACAACTCTAGAAAATCTGTCCTTGACTGGTTGCAAAATTCTTCCATTGTCATCTCCAAGTCTTCATCGTCAAGCACTTTCAAACTAATGTATTTATCACCTTGCCACACCCTTGTCGTGATCTCAGTGATACATTGGTTGTCTTGAAGACTTAACTTCTGCCGAATTCTCTGATGCAATTCGCCAATGGTTGTGTTGTGTTGGATACGTGTCGGCCTTTTTTCACCTTCGAATATGACACCTCGTCGACCTTCTACCTTCCTACCATTGTAATATAACACAACACGAACAAAATCAGGATTTGAACTCATTTTTAAATAGAATTACAACTAAAATTCAAATACTAAATTAAAGATAAAGGAATGTTGGTGGAGAAGAGAGATATGAAGAGTGAGAGAAGAGGTGTGAATTGAATGGAGGGGGTGAGGAAATATATAGAGCACACATGTGACGCTAGTTTTGGGCGTCACATGTGACGCCCCATTGGGGCGTCTCTCCCATGGATAAGACGCCCCAATGGGGCGTCACATTGTGCAGTAGATGTGTAATTTTTTACGAAACAACATTAAATGCGTAATTATTTTATTTAAATACAATATTTTAATTTTTTTTTGCCGTGATACGCACAAGCATTTTATATAGACTCGTCCATTTAATTATTAGATGCTACAATTGGGTTTATCATGCTAATTGCAAAATTTACTCTTTGCCAAATGACATTCCGATTGCTTTGCACTGATCTTATTGGATTTCATTACAGATTTTTTTTTTTTTAAATAACTTGCACTTTCTCATCTGCTTAGGTAGACATGGTAATTTTCAATACGACATGAGAAATTTGTGTCTATGTTGACCCAATTTTTTAATTCTTGTTGTGTTTGTATTGGGTAGATCCTGACATGAAAAAATTAGGGTTGTGTCACTTGTGAACTTGTAAAAAATCACACTAGTCCGCGTTAATCTTCTTTCAAATTATTTTTATCGTATATATTAACATGAAATTGGGGAAAACAATATTTAATCAACAAGTTATCGTGACCTGACACGAACACTACCCGTTATTATTAATTGTCACCCCTAATTATAAGGTCAAATCAATTTATATATCAATATAAATTATGCTCTTAATCTTGGTAATTGATCTTGTTGGATAAATTCATGGTGGGGGAGATTTACCATCAAATAAGCTAAGCTACAAACTCTTTAGAATAAGTGGGTTCAGATATCATATCTTAACCCAAAACTTTAAGACATTAAGGGCTTGTTTGGTATGATGTATAAGGCCTTATAGTATAAGCTTATACTATACGTTATGAAATTTTTAGTTGTTTGGTGTGACCATCGTATAGTATAAACTTATACAGCAGGATCTCTTTATACATCAAAATGATGTATAACTTAATCAGGCATAGGAGGGTAGAATTAGGCCTGATAAATGGTTGATGTATTAACTAATGCAATTATCAAGAATTAATATATTATTTTAATATTAGTATATTAAAATAAAAAATATTTTTTCAATATATAAATTTTGGAAATTTTTGATTTTATAAAAGTTAATATATTGTTTGGGCACACTGATCAACAAATTTCTACAAAAATTAATATCATCTAATATATTTGGAAGAATTATATAAATTCATTATTAAAAGGTATTTTTGTCAAAAATATTTATTTTTATCCTATGTAGTATTATACAGTGCATTACCAAATATTGGATTATATTATCTTATATAATGTCATACCAAACTCTAGATAGTATTTAAATTTAATCTGGTCTTATACAATCAGATCTTATACTATCAAGCCTTATCCTATACTGAGTACCAAACATGCCCTAAGGGACAGTTTGGTGTAATGTTTAAATCCTGATAGTATAAACTTATATTATACGTTATGACATTTTTAGTTGTTTGGTATGACCATCGTATATTATAAGCTTATATAATAGAATTCCTTTATACGTCAAAATGATGTATAACTAATTAATCAGGCCTAGAAGGGTAGGATCAGGCCTGATAAGGGATTGAAGTATTAACCAATGCAATTCTCAAGAATTAATATATTATTTTAATATTAATATATTAAAATAAAAAACAATTTTTCAATATATAGATTTTTAAAATATTGGAGATTTTTATTTTTATAAAAATTAATATATTTTTTGGACACACTAATCAACAAATTTCTATAAAAATTAATATCCTCTGATTTATTTGGAAGAATTATTTAAATTTATTATTAAAAGGTATTTTTGTCAAAAATATTTATTTTTATCCTATCTAGTATTATACAATGCATTATCAAACATTGAATGATATTATCTTTACAATATATTATCTTATACAATATCATGTCAAACGCTGAATAGTATTAAAATTTAATTAGATCTTATACAATCAGGTAGGGGTGTTCGCGGTCTGGATTGGATCGATTTTAGAAGCAAAAATCATCTGATCCAATCCCTTTGGTTTGATCATGTAATCATCCATTCGGTTTATATTTTTTTTCAAATCTGATCTGATCCGATTCAATTTTTTTCGGTTTGGATTTGATTGATTTTCGATTTTTTGAAAAGCCTGATATTTGTTTCATGATTATTGTGCAAATAACATATATTTTGTATATATTGGCTTTGTAAAGTTTTTTTTTTTTTGAAATACAGAAGCATCAGTAAAAGATAATATAGTTATTTTTTTGGGCAATGAGATATGAAGTTCTACATAGATGAAACTTTGCTGATAGAATGTGGCTAGGTCTTTTCTTGGGTTTAGTTGATGGGTTAATGGGTCTTGGTTTTAGAATTTTTTGGATAATGATTGGGGAAAGACCCATGTAGGTAGAGGAAAATTAATATATTGGATCGGTTTGGATTGGATTGATTTTCATCAACCAAACCAAAATCTGATCCAATCCAATTAAAATTTGAGGGTTTTTTTTTTTTCGGTTTTTCGATTTTCGATTTATTTGGTTATTGATTTTTTCGGTTCAGTCACCGCGGTTTGAATCGGTTTGGTTCGGTTAATGAACGCCCCTACAATCAGGCCTTATTCTATATTGTGTACCAAACATGCCCTAAATTTATGGATCTTTTCACTTATATGAATCTCACTTAGTCTACTCAATTCTAACAAATATAAAACTTCACTACTCATATTTGAATTCCCAATAGAACCCAATTATATCTTATTGCTCTACTTTTTTTATTATGTAAGTCATTAGATATAAAAGGATTAATAACTATATATAAATTGATTAATAACGATATATATATGTATGTATTGGGTAGGTTCATTTTACATCAGTTTTAGACTTATTAGGAAAACTTTTAGCTTGAAAATTATTGAATGACACAATTTTTTTTTGCCTGTTTTCAGCATACAGATTCATCAAGTAGCCAAGGGAAAGCAAAGAAATTGTTTCAAAAGAATTGCGATTTCGCAAAACTATTTAGCGGACGATGGAAAGAATTAACTCACGTGTCCGATTATTCGCTTTGGTGAGATATTTTTGCTGGAACTGATCATCAAAGCATTGTAACGATGAAGATAGGATGAGAGAGGTGATTCCCAAAACTAGAGATAGATGTGCATATTGCAAACTTAGAAAGAGGGGGACGAGAGAGTAAAGATTAGGATTATAAGAGATAATTATGAATCGTTAGATTTAATTCTAATCTAACGATGATAAGATTGGTTGGTTATAAAGAGTAAAAGAGTTTTATTTAACTTTTGAATCTGAACCGTTAGATAAGATTGTAATCCAACGATGTTGAGAGAGGTAGGTAAAGGTAGGCAAAATGGGAGTAGGCACAATAACCTATCCCTATATATATATATATATATATATATATATATATATATATATATATATGGGTTTTATAAAAGTTATGTTGCAGGAAAAGTGATTGTGTGATGTTATAGAGATTCGTTTTGCGTGCCGTAATTTTCTTTTTTTCTTCAAAAAGTGTGGGTCCCACAAAATATATATAAAGCTTATCGTTTCTCAAGCTGCTTGAGATAATCTTATCTCCGGCTACTAAATTATAACCGTACAAAGATGGACCAATGGTGATAAATGAAGAGAGAGAAAAATGGAATCATAACCATTCACAGGTGAATCAATTAATATAAAGAAATAAATAAATAAAACGACGTAATTTTGAGATAACCGGAGATAAACTTATCTCAAGCTGCTTAAAAAATGTTTTTCGTATATATATATATATATATATATATATATATGAGCGGTAATAAATTGGAGGTGTGAAAGTCATCTATGCCATTGTTGTTTATGATATTTCCGTCCTTTTCGCCGTAATTGGTTCCGATGACCTTTGAGAAGTTAAATCAATAAGCGAGTATATTGGTCATGGTGTACTCGCTGACAACTTGTATTTTTATATCTCATACTTTGTCTTTCTTTATTGGATCCAAAGCCATGTAATGTGGGTTCCACTTCAGTTTGATTGTACTCAAAATTTGCTTCATAATGACAAAAGATATTTAAATAAATATAATTGCACATACAATAAATTAAATTTCAACACATAATATAATTTTAGATCCCAGTGTAAGAGAAAATAAGAATATAAAAAAAATTATTTACTACTTTTGCACAAGAATTGAAACATGCTTCAAGCAATAAACCTCATTACAATTGAAACTCCTGCGTTTAAATATTTCTATACTAATACATTAATTAATAAAGATAAGTTATTTTACTTTTTTTTTTTATGTCTATTTTATGTACCATTATCTAATATCATTAGATTAGAATGAGTTCTGATATGATGATGTTGAAGAATAATAAATAAGGTAAATATAAAAAAAATAGAATTACATATCTCTAATTAATAATATAAAAATATTTGATTTAAGGATTTTGTTTTTGTTTTATGAGATTTCCGAGACATTGAAATCAAGCTTATACATCATTTAATTTAACATTTTGGAATTAATATAAAAATTATTTCAAACAATAAAACACAAATTATGTTAATAATTTTATAAGGAGATGCCATTCAATTTTTTTTTATATAATTATAAAGCTGTTAGCGTAATCGTATTACGGGTTTAACAAGTTTGGTTAAATACTATAATAAAAATTTTATATTATTATCCATGTTTAACAATGAAATCTTTATCATTATCAAGTTTTAATTTAAATTTTATTTTTTTAAAAAATTAAAATAAATTAGCTGGCAGTTTGCAGTAAAAAGACCAAGCTACATGACAATAATATTGTCGGTGACGGTTTGATAATTAACAGGAATAAATCATAGATTCAGTTCAGAGGAGGGGAAGATTCCATTAAACAGATTAGAGTTCACCGACAGCCTGGTAAAAGAAACATTTCTTTAGACGTAAAACAACTTTCAAATTATCATTGTAATGTATAAGGAAAAAAGTAACAAGTTAATTTTCACATAATATCTTTTAAACAAAAGGGAATAAATGGATTTTGTGTTAATTCAAACTATTCATGTGTTTTTGTAAATTTTTGTATTTGGTTTCCTCTTTAGTTTTTGAGGGAATTATTTTCACCTTTTGTTGTTTTGAGAATTCTTTTATCATATTTTATAGATTTTATTATAAGTCAGAAGTCAACTATCATTATTATGATGTAAATTATAAAACCTTTGTTTGATATTTTATTTTTTATTTTATATAAAAACAAGATTTTATATAAAAATTAAAAGAGAATAAAAAATCATAAAATATAAAATCATATCGTAAAAAAATTATAAAAACATAAAAATATTTAAAATATTGATAAAAATATTTTGGTGAAAAAGATCATAAAAATATAATGATAAATCAAGATTTTAATTATCATTAACACAGTCGAATTTGTTGGACTTGTTCAAAGTGTGTGACTAAAACGAGTCTTCTCTAAGAATACCAATCTTTCACCATTGCATTTTCTACTTGAAAGCTATATGCCCTTTTTTTAATTAATAGATTCCGCGTCAAGTATTTAATTAGTAGATTTCTTTTTCCTCTTCTTCAATGAATTTGATTAGGCAATTATGACGAAATAATTCAATTTTCCATTCTTTCTTTTTTCCTCTCCTTCAATTGTGATCTTTAATTTTCTTTTTCTTTTTTTAAATATGATTATGTTTAATATAGATAAAATCATAATTTTATATAATACAAAATTTTAAGATATTAAGAGAGATTGCTATTGATGGTGATCTCTTACTAATATGCTTTAGAAAAAAAATTATCAAACACAATATATTTTGAAAAATCAACATCAATAAGAGGTAACCATATCACCTAAAAATTTATTTTTTTTTCTCAAATCATATTACAACACTAAATATTTTAGGAAGTTATAATTTTCCAAATAAATAACACAATCACGCATGTTGCCTTGAAAGCGCAATTTAAGCTTGGTGAAAGTAGGGGGTCAAATCCTAATACCTTGTGATGGATCCTCCAATGGCACATGAGACATGTATATGAAGAATATTGAAAAAATTTTGCAAGTTGTGTTGCTTCAGCTTTTGCTTGCTTGACAAAACAGGGTTGGTCCCTCTTTGTTGCCCAGTCTTGTTCCCTTGAATTTAGGAGGGTCATTCTTTCATTCTTTTGGTTTCAGTTTCAGATCTAAAAGCCAAATCTCCATCATCCCATGATTTTAGTTTTTGTAGTCTCTGATATGTCATAGGACAGTCCAACCAAACACAAACACTCCCACCTCAAACTCAAAGGTTGCAGCTTGCTACAACTTTGAAGTTTGAACAACAAAAAGACAAGTCCTCCTCCAATTTGAAGTCAAAGAAAAGAGATGGGGTTTCAAGAAAACGGAAATGGGGAAATGGGGTTGTCTGGAATCCCCTTGGGAGCAAAGAACAAGTACAAGAGGATGAACTCCGAGTTTGAGGAAAACGATGATGTTTTGATCCAACAGCAACAAGAAGATAAGAGGAACGGTATTAGGAAATATGTTCTTGCCTGTGCCATCTTTGCTTCTCTCAATAATGTCCTTCTCGGCTATGGTATGTATGGTTTCTTTGAAAAGTCTCTGATTTTGTCAGTTTTATTGAAACCATCCTCAGTTCCCGCTTTGAATTTGTCGCTTGCTGTTACTGCATATTTCATTGACTATGATGCAATTTAGATTGTGCTGTTGATGTTTTGTGACAAGCCATTCATTTGCCACCATGTCCTTGTTCTGTAGCCGATCTAGACCAATTCTGTTCCATATCTGAATTATCATTGCATTCCTAGTATCTATGAAAACAGATCTACCAAACTTTGGATTCAGGGCTGAAAAGTGGAAAAAAGTCAACTGTATATTTATCAATTATAGGGATTTTATTGCGGAGATAATTTTGATTTTGAATTGAATAAATGTTTACATGATTTATTTTGTGAAATTTGCAGATGTAGGTGTCATGAGTGGAGCCGTTATATTTATCAAAGAAGATCTGAAGATATCTGAGTTTCAGGTAGAATTTTTGGTTGGTATTCTGAGCATTGTTTCTCTACTGGGTAGCCTGGGTGGTGGAAGAACATCAGATATTATTGGTAGAAAATGGACAATGGCCTTAGCTGCAGTTGTATTCCAAATGGGTGCGCTCACAATGACTGTTGCTCCTTCATATGCAGTGTTAATGATTGGAAGGTTTCTAGCTGGGATTGGAATAGGTTTTGGAGTTATGATCTCCCCTATATATATTGCTGAGATATCACCAAATGTCACAAGAGGCTCTCTTACTACCTTCCCTGAGATTTTCATAAATGTAGGAATTATGCTTGGTTATGTATCAAACTATGCATTTTCTGGCCTTTCATCTCACATAAATTGGAGAGTGATGCTTGCTGTGGGAATGTTGCCTTCAGTATTCATTGGCTTTGCTCTTTTCATTATTCCCGAGTCACCGAGGTGGTTGGTAATGAAGAATCGAGTTGAAGAAGCAAGATCAGTGCTGTTGAAAACAAATGAAGATGAGAAAGAAGTAGAGGAGAGACTTGCAGAAATACAACAGGCTGCAGGACATGGAAATTCTGAGGAGAAACCGGTGTGGCTTGAACTGTTATTTCCATCTCCGGCTCTTCGCCGGATGCTGATTACTGGACTTGGGATTCAGTGTTTTCAACAGATTTCAGGAATTGATGCAACTGTGTATTACAGCCCTGAAATTTTCCAAGCAGCTGGTATTGTGGATAACTCTAAACTTCTAGCTGCAACTGTTGCTGTTGGTGTAACAAAGACCATTTTTATTTTGGTAGCTATCATTCTTATTGATAGACTAGGTAGGAAGCCCCTTCTCTTGATAAGCACAATTGGGATGACAATTTGTTTGTTCAGCATGGGGGCTACTCTTTATTTTTTTGGAAAAGGGTCATTTGTGATTGCATTAGCCCTTCTGTTTGTTTGTGGGAATGTAGCATTTTTTTCAGTTGGATTAGGCCCCGTGTGCTGGGTTTTGACATCTGAAATCTTCCCTTTAAGGGTGCGTGCTCAAGCATCTGCACTTGGTGCTGTGGGTAATAGGGTCTGCAGTGGCCTTGTAGCCATGTCTTTTCTGTCTGTATCTAGAGCAATAACTGTTGCTGGAACATTCTTCCTGTTTTCTGCTATTTCTGCTCTTGCCATTGTCTTTGTCTTCACACTAGTCCCTGAAACCAAAGGGAAGTCATTGGAGCAGATTGAGATGATGTTTCAGAATGAACATGAGAGTCTAGGAAGTGAAATGGAGCTAGGAGATGTTGAACAACTTGTGCAGAACAAAACTGGTTTAACAAATTAATTGATTAGCCATACACCTTTATATGAATCTGATGGATTTGTCATTACATGGCTACACATATTTCACATGATATGTCCAAGGCTATTCTGGAGAGCACTTTACTGGCATGGATATTGATCTTCTGCGACCAGAGAGTTTGGCAGCTTGTGTGTGAGTAAGGAACGAAAGATAACATGAAGACAAATTGCATTCATATTGTATACGCAAACTTTTCCTAGTACAATAATTCTTGTTTCTTTTAGTTACATTTAAATTTATTATAGCATTGTATATGGAAGGAGATTTTTGATGGAGATGCTCTTGTCTCCATATGGTCCTTTGAGATGTTTTGAGACAATTTATAGCAACATCATTACAATATATCCACGAGGCATGTAATTAAGATGAACATTCTTTAACAGATTATATTCTTTTCAACTCTAGTATCTGAATTATGATCGTTTTTAATCATCAAAGAATTTATGCTTCGGTGTCAAAGTGATTAATAACAAGCTCTCGTCCTTCTTTGATCAAATAATTTTAAGTGTAAGTTCAGTTTAATACTCAGTCAAAATATATCCAAAGTTTGTAAATATCTTTGCAAATTCAGAGGTTGACTTAACGAGCAGAACCGGGTTTAGTATTGTTGCTAACTCCTAATGACATTATTTGAAAGCACCATTATTATTAATAGAATGGGATTAATAATAATATCCTGCATCAATTTTCTTGAAAACGTCATCTATGTTTAAAATATCTATATAATCTCCAATCCATTCTTAAAAAGGACAGGTAATGCAAGTTTTTATTTATTTATTCAACCTCTCTTTTCTAAAGGACAAAAATAATCAAGTGCACATACGCTTGGGCTGACAAGAGCAAAGTTCTTGAAATTGTTTTGTCATAATGATCGGAAATTGAATTTCCTTGAATCCAACCAATAGCCTCCAAATTCCAATTCATTGACCTAGACTTTAATGTTTATTGCACGAATACGGTGTGTATTAGATATAATCAATTAAAATAATAATAAGAAAGTCAATAAAGTTTTTATAATAATTACATCAATGTTATCTTAAATTTGTAATTGATTGCACCTAGTAATCGCGTGCTCTGACGGATAATTGAACGAGTAATTGATTCCGCAGTTTGGCATTAGAATGGGAGACAAAGATTAAAATTTTATAAATATAATTTTAAATTTTAAAATTAAATTTTGTTGCAATAAGAAAATCATTAATATAATTATATTTTCTCGGTAATTAAGATAAAATTTTCAAGTAAACTGACACGTGATTGATAATTTAATGTCTAATAAATAATTATTATAATTTATTTTTTGAATTAATTCAAAGATTTTTTTAGGAATAGTTAATAAATTTTTATATGTACGTCGATTTTTATTAGTAATAAAACATAAGAAAATAAAAGGTTATGGCCAAGTTTAGATTTTATTCTTATTTTGACAAATTTTGACATACTAAAGGGTTATTTACCGAATTTATCAATGTGATTTCTTAGCAATATAATTCGTTAAAAAAATTTAATAATATTAAGTAATAAATAATTAAAAGTAAAAAATAAAATAAAGTATAATTTATAATTAAATTTGAAATTTATTGTCATTGTAACATGTACTCTTTAATATTGCATAACTTCGTGGGCCAGCTCCTTTACTTGATCTTTTTGGGGTGTTTGATAGGGTTTTCTTTTTTAGAATCCCGAAGAACTGATATTCAGATTCTAATTTACACACTTGGTATAAGGAATGCAAATTTTTTTCGGAAAAATCAAATTCTCGGGAAGAGGAATACCAACTTAAAATCCCACGAAATAGATGGTATTTTGAGAATATCATGCGATGGGAATATTTTGTACCTGAGACGGAGACCAAAGATTGAGATATGCTTGAAGAACTTTGTGTTCGTGAAAGCTCCATTGAAGAGTGACATTGTTGGAGAGCAAAGGAATTGGCATGAGAGAGAGAGCGAAAGAGAGAATACACTCACAGTGAGGTTCTAGAAAATGAATTGCAGGAAAATCCTATCAGAGTGAGCTTTTTCCGACAACTGTTGCTCTCATAGTAATGTTCTAGAAACTAGATCGCATTGGTTTCACCGGAAAAATGTGGGGTAGGTGGTGGTGTTGTGGTGGCAGTTTTGGATTGTTGACGCAAAGCGTATATGCAATTATTAATGTGAGGGATGGTTATGGGGAAAAGATTCAACCTTTTGTTCCTCCTTTATTGGGTGTTGTTGTAGTGATGTGTGATGAAAGAGGAGTGTTGAAACCACATCAAGAGGGGTATATCATCTTCCACTGTACTTTCATCCAACTCCTCTGGGGATGTTAAGGGAACAAAAGAGTCCATATCATTATCTCGAGCAAGAAGCTTATGAGATTGGTTAATGCGGAATTGCTTAAGATGAAGCTTGGTATGGAAGGGGAGGAAGTTATTCCCTACATTGAGCTTCTTGAAACTTGTGAGAGAATGGGTTTTTCCAAGAATCAAGAGGAGGCTACAGCATTTGCCAAGGTTCTTGATGAGGATGGCTATGAGGTACTAGAATTTAGGACCCATTAACTTAAAAAATCAAAATAGAGTGAACTTTTCCGGTGAATGTGATAACTGGTTTTAGGTGGAAATGTTGAGAGGAATCAGTAGAAGAGAGAAATATGAAAATTATGGGTAAAGATTAACTTTGCAAAATCACCCCACATTCCTAGCAATATTTGACAATCAACTAAACATAGAATCAATAAACTTGAGCCAACATTTCTAATAATATTTTAGCCTACCCAACAACTTTTTGATAACATTCCTGAAAAAGTCATTTTCCCATGATATTCCTAGGAATCATAATTCCTGGACACAAAAATTTTCTCTTTGTACCAAACGTCTCCTTTTATATTCATTAAGTGTTCTCTTCCTTTTGTTCTTGCCTTGCAATTTCCTACTCTCCCCCTTTCACTCTATCTCACAAACTCTTTACACTGTGCTCTGCAGTAAATCACTCCTTCTATGACGGAGAACATCCACCACAGTCTTGTAGAAGTGAAGGTACAGAAGGTGCATGTGGCAGAGATTGGAAGTGGTCATTCCTTGATTACCTTTTTGTTTTTGAAGGCACGAAGGCAGTGGTATTATTGCATGGATTCCCAGAAATCTGGTATACATGGAGGCACCAAATGATTGCTGTGGGCTGTGGCAAATGCTGGCTATCGGGCAATTGCCTCTGATTTCAGAGGCTATGGACTTTCTGAGCATTCAGCAGAGCCAGAAAAGGAAACCATGCATGACCTGGTTGATGAAATCGTGGGTCTTTTGGATTCTTTAAGCATAAGCAAGGTAATGAGCTAGACATGCAACAGTTCATATGTAGTTGAATTTGTTAACATGCACAGGTTTCTAGAATATAGAATTATATGTGGATCGATTCAGTGTGTGTGTGTGTTAATAAACCATTATGAAATTTATCGCTAAAATTTCTGTCCTAGTTCTGAACCAAGGGATGGTAGTACAAATACAAAACTAAATGATGGTTTATCTCGTTCAATATTTTGGCTTATTGCAAGTAAGCTTTAACTAATTCTAGCGGAAAAAAGAGTGAGGGTGGGTGGGAGGAAAAGAGCCTCTGATTAAGGTCAAAAAGTTGACTAAATGTTTATATCAGGCTTTCCCTGTTGGCAAGGACTTTGGAGCCATCCCAGGATATCTTGCAGCTGCTGTGCACCCCGAAAGAGTAGCTGCTATCATAACTTTAGGCATTCCTTTCATGCTTCCGGTCCCTCTACAATCCAAAACCACTACATTATCAAATAAATTCAAAAGTTTAAATTATTAAGTAAAGGTTACACTAATGATTTTATATACTATATCTCTAACACCTGCCCAAAGGCTTTCAATATTACTAGGTGGCAGAAACAAATTCCATCTGGCATCATAATATTTATATTCCTTACAATGTGTTAGAAATAATTATTAACTAATTTCAGGAGCCTGGTAGGGCTGAAGCAGATTTTGGCCGCTTTGTTGTGAAATCAGTTATAAGGAACATCTACACTCTCTACTCTAGAAGTGAGCTGCCAGTAGCAGCTGAAAATCAGGAATTCATGGACTAGTTTAACCCATCTACTCCCCTACCACCATAGTTCTCTGTTGAAGACCTTGCAACCTATGCATCTCTATATGAAAAATCTGGATTCAGATATGCAATGCAAGTTTCTTCCAGGTAAACAGACTTCCACTTTCCCACTTTCAAATCTAAAATAGTGGAATTCATTTTGTTTTTTGTTAATTTCAAAACTGGCATCTAATGGAGTGAAATGCTACTCCAAATAATAAAATTAAAATGTTATAAAATAGTCAGGGTACAGACTTCTAAATTTAGACTGTTTATGATCCATGCAGGAGTCTCAATGTGGATAGTGGCAAAAGTGATCCGAAAGTTACAATTCCAGCACTTCTGATCATGGGTGAGAGAGATTACGTCTTCAAGTTTCCAGGCATGGAGGACTATATCAGAAGTGAGGCAGTGAAACATCTTGTGCCAGAGATGGAAATCATATAAATTGTAGAAGGAAGCCATTTTGTGCACGAACAAATTCCAGAGAAGGTGAACCAGCTCATCATTGAGTTCCTTGACAAAGTATCTGATTGTCTGCTATCAAGCTAAAAGCATGTTTCCTTAAGTTCGAGTGATTTCTAGGTTGCTTAATATGACAACAGATGTAATATCCTGCTCTAAAACATCCAGCTCATTAAGGTAGTATATTATAAAGTCTGGAACTTTTTGAATTTTGGCAAAGATAGATATTTCATTAATTCGCAAGGAAAGAATACACGGGAAACCATACAAATACTGGTAACTCAAATCAAAATCAAACCAAAAGGGATATACACCTGACAGCAGCACCAGAAAGAAGGGCACAAATCGCTAATTGGCTTCAATGTAGAGAAACCAAAAATCCAGTGAAGTCTGAGTTAACTCTATGCGCAATGTCTAATTCTAACCAATCTCTTCCTTTAAAAAAACAAAAGTTGAGTTTCTGGCTTTCCAAAGCCTCCTGAATATGAAAACAGCACTACATATCAAATAAAGTCTGAAACTTTGTACTGAGTTTGACGGTGACTACAATTTATGAAAACAGCTTGGTTGATATTAAAAAAAAAAAAAAAAAACTGTTGCCATTGATCAGTTTTAGGCCCAGCCCTCAAAAGCCACAAGTTCAGCGAGCTAGCGAAACTTTAGGAATTGCCCAAGATTGGATATGGCAAAAATAAAGGAACAACAGAAATCCCAAATCCCTTGCTGTCTGCAAGTACTTATACGATGCAATACTCATTTTCAATAGTCGAATTCTGCCATACACCAACAGTAAAAACTAGATTATGAATGCCCAAAATGACAACCATTCCTTAACAAGTCAGAAACATGCTTATTTGAGCCTAATAACTAATTTTCCAAATTGCAGTGGGGTTAATATCAATGATACTACGCCTTCACTACTCTACATAAATTTGAAAGAAACACATGTCAATCAGTATTGCAAAAAAAGTTAACCATCCTTGCTGAGTGCTAATTCACAAAATACCAAAGTCACTAACAAAATAGAAACAAAAGGGAAAATGATTTACCAAAAGGGTGTCATGTGGGCACAAGGGAAAGGCCACAAACGAGAACAATTGCATAGACAGCACAATCCATGAACACAGCATCCATCACGTTCTGCACCACCAGGCCTAGTTCCAATATCCTAGCAAGTTGAGAATCCCACTGATCTCCATCAGAAGAAGTTTGACTCTGTCTTCTCTCAAACCTTTCAAAACCCTTCTGTTTGCCAGAAAGAAGCCTTGCAACCACAACAGTTAAATTGGTGACCAAAACCAAGTAGAGTGGCCTAAAGCTTATCACTCTCTTAATCAACTTGATACCCGTCAAAGAGAATCCCAAATAAGATGCAACCACTAATAAGGCCACAGCAATGGAACAACAAAGACGGGTAACCCTTGAGGCATTAACAGCAGAACTTATGTCACTTGGGTTGATGAAATTTTTAGGTTCCTCAGGCTGTGACTGTCGATTGGAAATATCAAGAGATGAATCTTGAAGTGGTGGTGGTTGTGATTGTGGTTGTACATGTTCGGCTTCAGGTTCAGGTTCAATTTCAGAAGTTGGGACAATTGAAATCTCGCTTTCACTCTCGTGTTCATGCAAAGGAGGTGTTTGGATTATGCTTTTGGAAGCATCAGAGTGGTAGGGATCATGAGTTTGCAAAATGGAATCTGAGTCCTTCTCGGCATCACCATGAGGCAAAACTGCAAAAGAGCAACGTAATTGAAATTGAGAGTTTGGAATTATTTATAATTATTGAATTTCATACGCAACTATGGATATGGAAATCTAGGTTTTGGAATTAGAAAATGAAATTGTAATTAGTAAATTGGAGAATGAAAAGAAAGAGAAGGGAGAAGAAACGTACCGGTAGTAAGGGAGGTGTCTGGATCATCGGAAATTAAGGGTTGGGATTGGGAAGATGAATCATCCGGATCCGGATCCGGATCCGGGGGAGGAAGATTTTGGATCCGACCCGAAATGAAGGCGAGACGGTCGGATCCTTGTTGGAGGATTCTTCTTCTTCTTCGGGTTTCTCTGCTGTTCGTTTCTGCCATCCTTCACAACTCTCTTTCTTCACTGTCACACACCTTAACAACAATCACTTTTTTTCTTTTTATCAAAGGAAGCTTTGTATTTTAAAAAAAAATTATATTTATTTCATTTTCTAGAGAAAAAAAAAAAAAAATTTCTACGCACATAAAAAAGGAGTAGGTTTTACTCTTTTTTCTCTATTTTTATATATAGATTTCACTTATGATTTTATTCATTTTCCTACAATATAAAAAAATTATTTCTCTCCTTTAAAGAATGATGGCATTTTACTTATTATCATTTTGACCTTATTGCTGTTATTACTTGATTGATTATTGTTAAATCAATTTAAAATTAATAGTTAAAAAATGAGAAAAATTAATTGTCGTTAATTTTAAATTGATCCAATGAAAACCAATTAGGTAGAAAAAATAATAAAACTAAAATAATAGTCAGAAAAATATTTCTGCAATTAATACAGATAAGTTATCTGCATTTACTCCCAAAACGACAACGTTTTAGGATTAAAAAATTAAAAAATTATAATTATAAAGACTATAATAATCCTGAAATAAAAAAATTACAAAAACACCATGATTTTCGCTCCAAAACGACGTCGTATTGGACTTACTGCAGATAACTTATCTGCAGTGACAGCAGAAAAAGCGAACCCAATAACCATTCCCAAAAATGTTATTTATTCAATTCACTTTAATTCATAAGTATCACGAATATTAATTGGAGAAGAATCTGTTTACAATTTTTTTTTACAAATTATACTAAGTACAACCAGTCATACACTCTTGATTGAAGTATGACCGGTCATACTTAGTGTAGTTTGTTAGAGTTTGTAAATAAAAAGTTTATAAATATAAAATGTTTATATTAGTTATATCAGGTTTAAATGTTAGATACCTCTAAGCACAACCCTTTATTTTCGTGTAAACTACAATCATTTTGTTTTAAGTTCCAACTTCTGAGATTGGCGCAATTTTTTTTTAAAGTTAAAAGCTATTTTGAAATAGATTACCAAAAAAAAAAAGCTATTTCGAAATAACAGTTTAAAAAGTAAACTCAAAAGTTGTTTGGTAATTACATAAAGAGAAAAATATTTATCCTTTTTTTTATAGCCAAATATTTGTCCTTTTAAATGATATAATTTTGTATCATTTTAGATCCTAACAGTTAATTTCTGTCAATCAACAGTTAAGATTTATTAGGTCAAATTTATTAATTAATTAGTAATTCATAAAATATCCAATAAATTCTAATCGTTGATTTCCGTAAATCAACGGTTAGGATTTAAAATGACACAAAGTTGTATCCTTTAAAAGGACAAACATTTTTTCCATAAATAAAACTATTTTAATGGATTTGAAGGAGAGAAGAAGAAATAATTTGTTCTTCGGATGAATTATTAGTGTAAAAGATAAAATTTATAAATACAAATTTAGAATAAGAATAAAACTGTAAAATAAATATAATAATTCCAAAAAATTGATATACATCTTAAAAAAAAAAGCAATTCTCCTCTAAGCTTTTAACTCTTTTTTTTGGTAGTTAAAAGTTTAAGTGAGGTTAGACACCTGTATCACATTAGGGTCAGAGAAGACCCTTAACCTCTTTGAAAATTTCTGAGAGAAATTACATATCGTCCACTAATAAAGTCCTCACATTGCTGAGCCTTTTTGGTCAGAAGTAGATGGTGACATTACTTCTGCTCCAAATAGGAAGTCTAGTGATTTATTTTTCCGGTTAGAATTTATGTTGATGGTGCTTGCAGTCTGAATACTGGGGTGGGAGCCTGTGGTGGGTTTATTTGTTCTGCCAGTGGTGAGTGGTTAGGTGGCTTCTCTTATAACATAGTTAGGTGCACGGTTTTGGAAGCTGAATTATGGAGCATTTATCATGGTCTCAAGATGGCAGGTGACATGAATTTCAACAGGGCTTGGTTGGGGTGTGATAGCAAAGAAGCTATCCTTTGTCTCGAAGAAGAAACTGAGAACTACGGTTTTTCTTCCTTAATCGGTAGGATCAGAAAAGCTGGCCAAGATGTGGACCAGCTCCAATTGGATTTTGTTCCAAGAGACCTCAATGTTTGTGCTGATATTTTAGCTAAGTTAGGACTTAGGCTTAAGGGTGCGGAGCCCCGCCGGTGTTAATATCTTTCCTTCTTGGTTAGAGTTTAGCTCCAATTTGAATGTGGAGCATTTGTGTTTGAACTTGTGTAAGATGAGTGTTTAGTTGTCTCTGGACTTGGCCCTCTAGTTTATCAAAAAAAAAGTCCTCACATTAGCCGTGGAGTTTGAACCCACACCCTTGTGGGATATGGACCAAACCAAATCCTTAGCTAACTATATCTACCTTTGTTCGCAGCTTTAACTTTTTCATTCATCATTAAAAAAAAGCTCTTTTCATGAGAAAAACTTTTATAAAATTATGTTTAATTAAATTTCTGCTTTTAAGAAAAATAGAAGATAAAAATAAAACATGTCCAACAGAAACATTATATTGGAGAAATTTGGCACACTAATTCTTCTGAATGCAAAAACTTTAATTTAATATTTAAAAATCACAGATGTTAATTATATTAATATATAAGAATAACTAGTATAATCAATATTTATGGTTCTTAGATCATTATGAATTTTTTTTATTCTAAACACAATGTATTCAAGCCATTTCTTATGAATGAATTTGAAAATCTACTCTATCTTTAGAGCATTGATTTCCAAAAAAACAATATATAACAATTTTAATAATAACACGTTAAATATATATATATATTTTTTAAACAATAATTTAATCTTGTCGAACTTCAAATTTTTTTAAATGACACCTTGTATTATTTTTCTCTTAGTCTTTGGTTAATAGTGATTGCATGTTTTTATATCTTCAGTTTTTTTTTTTCATCTTCGTTAACTAATTTTAATTTTTTTACTTTAATTAAGTTATTTTATTCCCTTTTTATCATAATTAATTTTTTTATTTAAATTTGATTTTCAGCCCTTAACTAAGATATTATTGGAAATCAAGACATAATTTCATTAATAAATTCTTTTAGTTGTTCATCATTTAGTAATTTTTCTTTTTATAACATACGACAGCCGTTAACATATTTAATGATTTAGTTTATAAAGAATACTTTTTTGTTTCATTTATTTACAATAAAATTTAACTTTTAATGATTTGTAGTTAGTTATTCGATACTTGGCAACCGACATTTCAATACTCTTTTCAATATCCTGATGTTTGAGCTTTTTCTTTTGGTGTGTATACTATTAGTAATTACTTGAAACTCATCACAGAGGCTTTGTTTGGGAGTTTAGAGGGGAAAGAAATGAAGGAAATCCAAGAGGAAGGGAAGGGAAGGAAGGAAAGAAAATTGGAGGATATCCCCTTTCGCATGTTTGGGAGTCAAAAAAACGAAATGGACGGAAAATGGAGGATTAATGAGATATTTTTATCATTTTACCTTTTTTTTTTTAAATTAACATAATTATTATACTATACAAATTAAATTAAATTTAAAATTTTTAAAAATATTATTTATATACTTTTCTCACTACTAAAAAATAATATATTTTCAACGCAATTTCTACGTTACAAATGACAAAAATTTCAACACAAATTTTTTTTTCGTCGAAAAGCGACAAATTTTTTCTCCGTTGAAAAATTTTTACAAATATAAATTTTCTATCAGAATTTTTGACAAAATTTAATTTCTGTTAAAAGTTTTGAGAAAAAAAAATTTCTCCATCAAATGTTTTAAACGAAAAAATAATTCCGTCAAAATTTTTGATGGAATGCTTTTTGTTCAAAATTCGATAAAAATATGTTCTAACAAAAATCTCGACAGAAATTACTTTGTCAAAAATTCAGAGGGAAGTGTTTCATTCGAAACTTTTGACGAAATTTAAATTTTGTAAAGAATTTTGACAGATTGTTTTTTCCGTCAAAATTTTTTATCGAAATATTTTTCGTCAAAAATTCTTACGAAAATATTTTTTGTTGAAATTTTTTAACAGAAATATGTTCCGTTGAAAATTTTGCTAGCAATATTTTTTGTCGAAAATTTTCGATGAAAATGTGTTCCGTTAAAAAATTTGACGAAAATTTTTTTTGTCAAAAAGTTTAACAAAAATGTTTCCATCGAAAACTTTCTACGAAATTTGAATTTTGTAAGAATTTTGATGAAACTTTTTTTCATCACAAATTTTTGATGGAAATGTGTTTCGTTGAAAATTTTGATGAAAATATTTTTCGTCAAAAATTTCGATGAATATGTTTTTTTTAAAATATTTTGAGAGAAATGTTTTGAGGAAATTTAGATTCTGTAAAAAATATTTGACAAAAAAAAATTCCGTCAAAATTTTTACAGAAATGATTTTAGTCACAAATTTTAATGAAAATGTGTTTCGTCAAAATTTTGGACAAAAATATTTTTGTTTAAAGTTTCGATAGAATTTAGATTCTATCGATAATTTTGATTGATTTTTTTCGTAAAAAATTTATGTCAGTAATTATGGCAAAATCTGATTCCGTCTCTAATTTCATCTTCTTTTGTTTTGTATATATCTCTAATTTCATCTTTAGGTTTGGCAGAAATTTTTGCCGTACATAATTTTCGTCAATAAATTCCATCGATATTTGAAACTTTTCTAATAATGTCACATTTAAAAATGATTCATAATATTTCTCCCCTTAAACCCCCAAATTCGAGGAACTTTAATTTTAAAAAGAAAGACGGTTTTGGAGAGTTTAATAAAAATCCTCAATTCCCTTCCCCCAATTTTTTAAACTCAAACAAGGAAATGACTTACTAACACCCTCACCTTCCCTTTCTTCTCCTCCAAAAACCAATTCCCAAACAAAGCCTAAGACAAACTCCACCATCACTGCAACTCCAGCATAGGCCATTAATTTCACGGTATAATGAGAGGGCAAACTCATACATAGCATATAATCTTTTATACAGATGTTGTCACGAGGAAAAGCAAGCACAAACTCGAATTTATAAAAAGTATAAATTGTAACTAAGGCTCTCATTTTATTTTTATTTCATTTACCTTGATCATATAAGATACGGTTATACATAAGGCCTCCCTTCCAAAATATGTATATTTTCTCAGAGTTCATAAGCTGGAAATTTAGACTGAGAGGGATCAACCATGTCCAAAAAGAGATATGCCATGCCTCCCAGCCCTTCAAACAATGAATATGGTCTATCACCTCCATGCATTTCACCTCGAGATATAAGCTTATGAGCCCTATCTAGCAAAAAGCAAGCAAAAGCTTTGGCCCTGTATAAATATTTCACATTCCCGGTAAGTTGGTAAAGTGAGAGGAAGACATAAGCATTCCCACTAATACCATGACAAATCCCAACTCGCCTAAGCAGACCACGATTCCAAACCACCTCTCCTGCTTCCATTGCTGCATCCAAGAATTCTTTATCTCCGAAAACCTGAGGATTTTTTTTGAAAAAAGAAGAAAACTTACAAGTGGTCCATGATAGGAAAAACATTTAACAAACAAAATTCAATTTGCGGAAAATATAACCTCCTTTGCTTTATGACACACAAAAAGACATGCATTCGTCCTAATTCAACACGGCATGCAGTGTGTTTACATTGAAATATGAATCTCCAATGCTATGTATTTGACAAATGTCAATATTAAAAATGAATGAGATGGACATTACAACATTATACGTGGTGCATAGGTAGTACAAAAAAATGCTTCTACGATATTGCTATCTTACAAAAGCAAGATGTGAAATAGATCAATAAAAGGCATTTTTGTTTAATCTCCTAGACAATAAATGCAATAAAGTGGTTCTTTCAAGGATCATGTAAACATACATAAATGAAAATTTTGAAACTCCCCAAATGATCATAAAGATTTAATCTGAGAAAACACATGTTAACAAGTGAATTTCTTGAATAATTTTTCACCTTAGCTGCTTTGACAAGTGTGAGGGCCATTCCAGGAGCTCCATGACACCAGTGCACAAGAACGTCCGTCTTCCTATCTTCTTCGCTAGCAGGATAGTTTCCACTAGGAAAGCGGTTATGTATCATGTATTTAAGAGTTCCCCTTACATCCTCAAGCTCATCTGGCTTCAACTCCATATCCATCAGGACATGCATAATCCCTGCCAATCCATGTGCAGCACCCCAGTACTTCTCTCCGTAAAATTCAAACATCAATGGGCATCTTCCCTTCCTACCCAACGCCCTTCCACTTTTTATGATTTCATCCACAACAGTAGCCTGAAAAGAATTTCAGAAACACAACCCCATTGTATTCATTGACACTTCTCCCAATTCAACACATAACAAAGGCAAAAATGACAAGAAGAGTTGGAGACCAAACACACAGTATAATTGGAAGGAACTGTCCCCTGACCAAGGTGCTTGTTTATGAACAAGCATGCCCATAGAAAACCAACTCTCCCGTATAATAACTCGTCAGGAAGATCTTTTGGCAGCTTAATCTGCACCCAACAACCACAATGCTTAGTTGTTAGTTCTTATTTCTGAATCATCAATTAGTCAACTTGGTTTTTCACATCAATTATTCGTACACTACAGTTAAGATAGTTAGAAAAGTTATGATCTTGTACCACTCAGCTATTGATTACAACTTATAAAAATCCTGCAATCATATATCTTTCCAATTCTGTTGTAAATTAATAGCTTTCCCAATTATTTCACTTCAACCCAAACCAGCACCACCCCAATAATAACCTCCAGATAAATGAACAAATGCAATTCAACTTCAATACCTTTTCGAACTGAGCTAGGTAGTACCTCAAGGACTCGTCATCACCAACATGTTTTGCAGCCACAGCCCCAAGGGCGCAAACACCAGCACGCCCACAAATAAAGGTGATGACCCTGTAATCCATTCATTCCAAGTTTCAACCTTTACACTTAACAACCACACAGGAACATAAAACATGGTAAAGGGGTAGTGAATTTAGAGAGAGAGATAGAGAGAGAACCTAGAATCAACAGAAGCAGCATCGCAAGCCTTCACAATCTGGGAGCAGAGAGTGAGATCGTTGCTGTTGCGGGTCACATTGTAAGACTTGAAGAGAAGAAAAGCGGTGCCCAGAAGGCCACAATAGAGAGTGAAGTCCCGAACGTGTTGCCCCGTTAATCCCCACGTTTCTATCACTATCTGACACAAAACCACAAACACTTGGTGGGATTGGGATTTATATGTAAGAGCTTGTGTCAAAGAGAAGAACGAGAAAGAGATGGGTAGCGTACAGTTTCTTTGAGGTCCAAGCCTGCGCGTTTGAGACGCTCGGTGAGTGGCGCGTGAGGCATGGCGAGGAGCTTCGTGAGTGAGTCTCCGTCTATGACTGTCACTGCTTCTTGTTGTTCCTCCGGAGTTGAGGGCGTCGCTTCGGGTACGAATTCGGGCATTGGGTTGGGAAAGAACCGATCCGCCATGACTTCGGGTCTCAGCAATACTAGAATGAACGAAGAGACTAGTTTCTAAGAAGAAGGATGTCGGCTTTGATTATAAAGCGACGCCGTTGGTGATGCCGTCGCTAAACGCTATGATTCTTAGTTTGAGCTGTCAAGCCATTCTTACACCTCCTCCTCAACTATCAACGTGGCATTGCACTGAAAAGTTAGATAATGTGCACAAGGACCAGCTGCCACGTGTTTAGAAGTTATGTACTGAAATATTATGTAGGTGAGTTTCAGCATGATCAGAATTACTTGTATAACTATTAAAATGTGGTAGTATGCTCTCTCATATTATTCTAGAAAGGGGTTTGATGCGCGTTTGGTGGAGGAGATATTTTCTTTATAGGAAAAAAATTGAGAATATAGTGGAAAGTTTTTTCTCGAATAAATTACGAAAAGGTGTTTGACAGGTCTAAATTTCTTTTGGGAATATTGAATTAATTTTAATGATGTTATGAAAAAATAAAAAATACCATATATCAAATGATATTTTTGATTGGGAATATGATGTGTGAAATAAAATGATGGCAAAAAAGATTTCCTGAGATTATTTTCAGTTTTCTCATACCAAACGTTGTAAACAAATTTGCCTCATCCCATTTTCCTAGGATTTCTAGGAAAATTCCTCATACCAAACAGCCCCAAATATTGTATTTTTGATCTGTTTCGTTAGTTGGTGCAAAGAAACGAAATTTGTGAAAATATTGGAGTAGCCAACTTGCCTTAATGTCTTTGGTATAAGAGATATTTTTTTTTACTGAAAAAATATATTTCTCGGAATATGGTGGGAAAAATTTTTACCCAGGTAAGTTAAGAAAAAGTGTTTGGTAGGCAAAAATTTTACCGAAAAAGTTGAGTTAATTTTACTGATGTTATGTTTGGTTTGTGATAAAATATTGATGAGAATCTTAACAAAATGACAAAATTACCCATTCTTTTGAATTTTGAATATGTTTTCTATCATGAAACGTTCATTTAGGACACAACATTTGTGTCCCTCTCTCCAATTTCGTTTGTTTGTAGCCGAAAAAATCATGTCACATGTATTCTTTTATCCATGTTCTGGGCTACTGGAGATATCGTACACACCGCCAAACACTTCTGCCTCGCCTCGCCGTCCGTCGTCCACACTCTCTGGTACTCCTTCACAGCGTTTGCGCTTGAAACCCACCAACTCCAACCCTCAAACATTGTCATTTTGCAACCAGCATTGTGAACGACGGTGCAAGCTGCACTTTTTCCTGCATATCCATCCTTGCGAAATTGATATTTTTCGTGTTTACAGATATCCCACAGTTGGAATTTGTCATTCTGGTAACCCTCCATAAATATGCATTATTTAGTGTTTTTGAGATCAGTAATTTCATTTTTCTACTTTAAATTAATTGTAGTTTTTTTTTAGAACATGTATTTTTCACCGTATGTATGAAGTTTTGAAGTAATAAAAAAATGAAGCTAATATTGTAGGTTATATTATTGTGGGTCTCTTTGGCTGACGCACACAACTGTGATGAAATGTATAATGGGTGGAGATGGGTGTCAAAGTGTATTTTCTGGGCAATTTTTATGTTTATCCTCATCGAACCTCAAAATGTGCAAATATGGAGTGACGACTGTGGTACGGAAGAGTTGGACATCAAGGAACCCAGGAAAGATGTTCTTCAGATGTCCCAATTTCAATACAAGTCATCCAAACTGTAATTTTTTGAGTGGGTTGATGAACCCACATGCCGTAAGTGCATAGAGAAGGAAAATTTGTTCAAACTTTCTATGGTTTTGCATATTGTTGTAATAGTATTTGGGATGGTAGTGTATCCGATGAAAAATGCTTGTTGAGTTCTAATTTTAAGGTATGTTCAATTGTCTGTAGAACGTACGAACTTGCTATTACGTAGAAGCCATGTACTTAGTATGGACACGTGTTTGGACTTATAGTTTGTTTATGATGTACCTTCTACTTTTTGAATTGGCAATGTTGGTAGTATGGATAGTATTGAGCTTACAATTTGCAGGTATAAACATTTAATTACTAAGTTGAAACTCGTATCCGTGAAGGGATAATTCCATTTTCCCACTGCTCAGACATGTCCGTCAAGGGCTAATTCCATGTATTAGCAAATAGGAACCCCAAAAAACTCGTGTTGTGGAGAACTTGTGACAGTGTCAGTTGTATCAAAAGTGGGAGAACTTCTGCAAATGGGTACATGCACGTGTTGTCAATTTTTTTAATAAGTTTTTGGGTCAGTTATTGACTTGCTCTATTTCCCCCCAAGTTTTTGGTTAAATGAATATTTGGTGGTTTACTGGTGAAGCTCTGCAAATGTTTTAATTTCCATTGTTGCAGCGTGATGTTATTGCATCATATTTAGATAGTGGACGACCTGCAGATGAGCAAGGTGTTAAAGATGCCTTTGAGCTCCTGAACGAGATGAATGAACATGTCAAGATTGGGGTCTGGGTTGGAAATTGTTTTATATACAATAATTTCTCTTGGAGGCTTAATTATTGTGTTGGTGGTAAGGTATTAACTCTTTTTCCTTTTAGGTTCAAAAGAACTGCATATGTATTTATTGAACTCTTTGTAATTATCTTCTCTCTCTGTCTTCATGATTTTCTTCTTTTATTGAAAATGGAGTAATTGAACTACAAGGATCATAAGAAGTTTCTTGATGCATAACATTATTAATTTAGGTAACTACAATGTTTCATTTGGACCGTCCAATGTACTTGTTAGGATATCTTGCTAGCCAAAGTAGGGTCTATTTGATAGACAAAGAGTTCAAGTAAGTCGACCATTAGTTTGCGTTGTTCAAAATCTCTCAATGCAGTTATCTTAATTATTTTTATTTTTCTTTATTGTTTTTCTCAGTGTTATGGGATACACGCTGCTTTTAAGCTTGATTGAGTACAAGACTGATGTGATGCGTGTTGATTTGGAGAGGGCTAATGAAGTTCTACCATCAATTCCTAAAGAGCATCATAATAGGCAGACTTTTGTTTACTTTGCATCAGAATGATTTTTCATTTCATTATTGAGAAATTATCATGCACAACATGCCCTTGTCTAATCCTTTTAGTATAAACGCCAACCTACTAAGAAATGAAAGTAGATCTTTTGTGGCTGACCAGAGAATCTTTTGACCCTCTTAAGTTGTTTGTTTGCTGATTAATTGCATTTTGCTTCTTGCTCACTTTGATATGTTATTTTGGAGTCTATCTAGTCTTCTTGGTTGTTCATTCTTTATAATTGCTTGGCATGGTTTTATGATATTAAATGTATAACTTGTATTAATATACAGTACATGTTCATTTGCCTATCTCCTTGATTTAGAATTGTTTTTCATCGTCATATGTTGTTTACAGGTGTTTGGATGTCATATGCATCCTAATTGCAACTATGCACTTGTTTTTATGGTAGTGTGGCTCAATTCCTGGAATCACATGGGATGATAGAGTATGCTCTTGAAGTTGCTACCGACCCTGATTACAGGGTCGATCTAGCCATACAGCTTGGAAGATTAGAGGTTGCAAAAGTAAGTTCCAACAAGGAGATATCATTTGATATATAAAATTTCATAACTTGGGTTTCTAATTTTCTTAATTTCTCGTTTGAATAAGTTGAATTTTTCATTTTTTATCGTGAGTAATATTCATTCTCTCTTTTTCCAGGATATTGCCACAAAAGTGTAGAATGAGTTTAAATGGAAGCAGTTGGGAGAATTAGCTATGTCTACTAGAAAGGTGTTTTTCTCCATCAAATGATTCTTCATTTTTTGTGATTTCTGTAAGCAATAGGTTGTATTACATTCGGAAGTATTCATGTCTAAATCATGATGTGCTGCTGAATATGACCATGCATAAGCGAATTAAGAGGTTTTAATTACTGCCAAACCAAGATAATTTTGTTAAACATTTGTTCTGTTTAGAAGTTGTGTTCAGATCCTTTGGGCTATGTTTGGATGGATGGAGTGGGGTGGGGTGGTGTGGTAAAAGGGACAAAACATTGTTCGGGAGATTTTCAAGTACTAGCATGGAATGGTTAAGGAGGGAACCTAAGCCACTCCTTACCACTCAAAATCATAAATTTTCATAACCTCTGATTTGCGGGTTTAGAATGGAATATTAATCTCTCTTATTTTTAAATGGTATTTAACAATACCCTCGGTATTCTTTTGTTGCAAACATGTGATTAAAAAGATAAGATTGGAAGATAAATTTGTAATCTATGCCACTCCATTAGTCACCATTGTTACTTCCAAACAATGGTGTAGAGCTGCCTTACATTGCTTCATTAAAACTTTCAAACAGTAGGGTAGTATTCTTTTACCTTTCTACTCAATTCCATTACAAACCAGTCCATTATGAATCACTCCACTCCATCCCCATGGAAATTCCCTAACATATTCTTTAGTTCAAGATGCTGATTCTAGTGCATGATTAGGATGTTGAATATTTATTTTATTCTTTTCACGATCAACAATGATTCTGGTGGTTGTTGATTGTTGATGGGTATTATTGTGACAAATGCAGCTCACTGTATTATCTATTCTTGCAGTTACAAATGGTTGAGGAATGTTTGAAACATGCAATAGATTTGAGTGGATATTTACTACTCTATTCTTCTTTAGGAGATGTTGAAGGAATATCAAAACTTGCAAATCTTGCTAAAGAGAAAGGAAAGAACAATGTCGCATTCCAGTGCTTATTTATGTTGGGTAAAATTGAAGACTTAAATTACATGTAAATGAGTTATGCTTTTGGCAGCAATCGGATTCCAGAGGCTATTTTAATGGCTCGACCTTATCTCCCAAGCAAGGTCTCAGAGATAGTGGTGATTTGGAAAAAAGATTTCAGTAAGGTAATTTCTTATTTAGCTATATATTATTATATTATTTACTCATGATGGAACTGCCTGACATTTATGTTGTCCACATGATATCATGGGTAGGAACTTCTCATTCCATTCCCTTGTCCTGGGATGCTTATCATGTTTATAGTTTAAATTCTTATATTTATTTGTTAATATGCACAGGTGAATCCAAAAGCTGCTGAATCATTGGCTGATCCCGAGGAGTTGGCAAGTTGCACTTGCTGTTGAATCTAGGGCTGCAAAAACAAGGTCAAT